TTTTTTTTTTTTTTAATGTTTTTATTGACTTCAGAGAGGAAGGGAGAGGGAAAGAGAGAGAGAAATTTCAGTGATGACAGAGGATCTAGGTAGGATCTGCTGCCTCCTCTACGTTCCCCACTGGGGATCAAGCTCACGGCCAGGCACGTGCCCTACCAGGAATTAAACCATGACCTCCTGGTTCATGGGTCGATGCTCAACCAGCACCGGCCAGAGCAAACGTTTTTAATTTTGATCATTTTTTTTTATTTCGGTTAGGTTGAGCTTTTGTGCAGTTTCACTTTTAAAGAAGCATTACTTATTTAGTTGCCTTAGTTCTATGACACTAGACCTCTTGCATCTTCTGAAATATTACAAAGTAATCCAGTTGTTTTGTTCACTCTACTGTCTTATTTATGTAGATTTCTAGAGATGATTTTTTTTTTTTAGGGCATGATATATTTCAAAATAGGTTTTTTGGGGGATGTATTTTCTCATGGAAAGCATGTTGTAAGTGTAATTACATGCCATGATTCATCTTTAAAAAATAAGTTTGATCCATAATATACCTAACATACTCTGATTTCTTTGGGAAATAATAGAATACAATTTTTGTTCTGGTAGTTAAAACAGTACAAGAATATTTACAAAGTTAGTTGAAGACTTTTGATAAGCGCCCTTTTCTCAACTGTCTAGTTACTATTTGGGATGGGTAAAGCAGCTGTTAAGTGTTATATGAGAAGAAATGAAAGCTTTGGGTGAGAGACAGGTGCAAAGAAACCTGCTTCTTAAGCATTTTGGGCCAGAACCTGACATTAGATTAGTGCATTGGGGGTTAAACGAACTGGTTGATGAGAGAAAAGTTTAGTTTTAAAATTTGCTTTTTGTCACAAAGCAGTAGTTATTTTCTAAATATCATGAGTCTTATGCTACTGCTGGTGGGAGAGTGGGGGGATCAGAAGTGTGCAAATTAGCTTACAATGAGATAAATTATTTGAAGATGGAGAAGTGTGGTAATTCCTGTAATAAGAAATTTCCTTAGCTGAAATTGTATGTGCATCAAATGTTCAGAAAAGAAAATATGTGTGTATGTAAAGAATATATCGTTTTGCTGCTTTGCAGTTACATAATGGAATATCTTTTCTTTTGTTTCCTAGGCTCTCTACTTTTAGAATCCAAAATAAATCCTAACACTGCATACCAGAAACAACAGGTAAAAATTTGAAGATGTGTTTTATTTTGCATATTATCCTCTCAGTTGGTGATTGAATGAAAATTTACTCTCTGATTCCTTATAATGAAAAATTAAGAACAGATTACAACATACTTTGCCAGTCTAATTCTAAAATACAATTTCTATCAATTTTTAGCATATGAAACAATCATTCTAAATTAAAAAAAAAACTTGATTTGTATTAAGGTGCAAAGAAACCTGCTTATGTTCCAGGTAGCCTAGCAGGTGAGCTTTGATACTCAAAAGGTAAAACAACTCAGTTTTATTGTTTCTGCCTAAAGTGTAAAAAAAAAGTGGCAACTGATGTAATCATCAGCCATTAACACAAGTCCTTCATTGTTATAGATGCTAGTGCAGAAGAAATATTTGTATCCCTCTACAGCAACTCAGTGTAGATAAGAATCTGATTTCTTCATTTTTAAATTTTTACTTATTGATTTGAGAAAGAGAAAAAGAAACATTGATTTGTTGTTCCATTTAGTTATGCATTCATTGGTTGATCTTGTATGTGCCCTGATCAGGGTTCAAATCTCCAACCTTGGCATATTGGGACGATGCTCTAACTAACTGAGCTACTAAGATTCTGGCCAGGGCAAGAATCTGATTTCTTACATAGCCTGAAGAGGACTTTATACTGATGTTACAGTTTTTAAGGCAACTTTCAATTTGAGTATATTCTTTCTTGTATTTTTTTGATATGTAAGAGATACCAGAAAGTAAATCTTTCCCTCACTTAGTACTACTAGCACTATCGACAAATGGTATTTATTTAGAACTCACACACATATTGCTCTACAAAGCCAGTGAAATCGGTATCAGTTTCCTCATTGCCCTGAAGGTGCAGAGATAAAATAATTTAAAATAAAGAATATTACCAACACGTTCATACATATGTTACTTTATAAATATATGCATGTATCATTTTATAAATTATAAAAGTGCTTTGCTTTATCACCAACACTAAAATACTGCTAGAAGGAAATCAGTATTGTCTTTATTTTGCACATTAATTGATGCCTAAAGATTGTGACTTGCTTGAAAACACACAGAGAATACATAGGAAAGCTGATACTAACTCCTAAATTTACTTAATGGTGATTTATTTGTCCCAAAACATTGGTACAATATGAAACATTTTTCTAGTAGTTTAATGGTCTTTGTTGTATTTAGTGTTCTTAAGAAAACTTTAGGTTTGATTTGAATGGTTGGAGACTAGACTATTTGGCTTTGATATTTTATACTTAAATACATAAATTCATGTTTTGTGGTTTTAGTCAGCTGAAATGTAAAAGCATATCCTAAGAAAAAGGAAAGATTGAGTCTATTTTGAGGATGAATGAGCAAATCCATGTCTATTAATGATTAACCTATTGATTAACAGGCAAGGTGATTTGATGAAAATTAGGCTCTTCAAGGAAAACAGAAGGGCAAGTTGTAAAAATTTTCTAACTTCCAAATTGCCACATGGATAATTAGGAGCGGATGTCTAGCTGTGCTCTGATTGAAACCTCCCAATGATTCTGAATATACATTGTAGCAGAGCAGTTGCTTACAGTTTTATTAAATCTATCTTATATACTAATGTGATGGTTTTAGATTTGTTCCAGTGGGTGCTATCACCACTTTTCATAACAGTATGCATCAGTACTCATTTTAAAGTTGAAGAAACTAAGGCTCAGGGAGATAATTTCTGGCATGTTGATCTTATAATGTTCATGTAAATTATTTTGAACCCGAACAGCTACTCATCAGTGTGGAACAGATTACCTGCCTGGGATCCATGATCTCTAGAAGTTCTTGAAGATAGTAAAGAGGGGGATTTGAGCTCTTTTTAAAAATTCTGAATAAGATTATAGATTTCCACTACAGTCAAACCTCAGTTCTCAAACGTCTCCCACCTTGAGCAATTCGGTTCTCAACCAAGTTGTTCATGGAAAAACATCTTGGTTGTCGAACAAAATTTCGGTTCTCAATCCAACAACACAATCAGTCATGTGTCTTTCAGGAGTCAAAGAAGAGAATGTGGGAGTATGAGTTTACTGCTAAATCTTGCGTTGTTAACATCTCAAGAAATTGTGCCATGAATATTTTTATGGGTTTTTTTTTTTTTTTGGCTTTTGTTGCTGATTACTAAATATATACAGTAAGTCACCATGGATCTGAAGAATCTTAGGTTAGTAATAGGAGAAAAGTGAAAAGGAAAGTTGTAAGAACGATAGAGCTTAGATATGTACTGTATATAAGAAAGGTTACGATGGAATCATTTGGGGGTCTGGCAGATTAATTCAATTTACATTATTTCTAATGGAGAAAAATGATTCAGTTTTCAAACAAATTGCTTCTTGAACTGCCTTCCAGAACCAATTAAGTTCAAAAACTGAGGGTCCACTGTATTAGTAATGCTGCACAGCCTGATCAAGTGTATACTTCTGGCTAACATCACTTTAGTTCAGTGAGAGAATATATTGGTCTTACATATATTGGACAGTTACATACTTGACTGAACAGAGTTAATATGCAAGTTTAGCAGACAAATTTTTAAACATGGGATCCATTTATGTATAGTAAGAAGTGTCTTTGATAATGAAAAGTATTAGAAACTGGCACAGTGTTAATAGATATCCTTTAAGGTACCTTAAATATAATCTAATCATGTTTCCCCCTCAATACAGGAACTTTTAGTACCCTAATAGATGCTTAGCCAGCCTTTGATTGGCTCTTTCCAGTTTCTTGTCAGTTGGATTTAAATGTAACTCTCCCTAGTGTCCTTCAACATTTCATAGATTTCTCTCAGAGGACCCTTTTTTTGAAATGGTTGATTGCTGTGAAACAGTGTGCATGTCAGTAAGTTTGAGAAGATACCTAGACCCTATAAATATTTTTATTATACCATGCATATTGTAGAACACACATTATTTTATATTACAGGGGATATAAAATGGTCTTTGTGTTTTAAGTGTAGTGTCTTGCTGAGATTATATTTTAATAAAAACTGTTTATTAAACTTACTGTTATTTTAAAAAGTGAGTAAGTGTAAAGTGGTGGTAGGACCTTGCTTCTTGAACCACAACGCTGGTGCATGTTTAAAAACTGTCTAGATGAATACTCACATACTACACATTTAGCCAATACTTCATGGGCCCCAGATAAAGAGCACTTGATGTTGACAACAGAAGGAGGAGGAGCTAGGTTTATCAATCCCATCCTCATAATATGCCCTAGTTATTAAATGCTCAGACTTTTCTTTGAGCCTAAATTGTAACTTAATGTGCAAGCATAGGATACAATGTTCACCCTGTATGTTTTAGTACACTTAGATTGTATGCTCATTTTGTCATGCTTTCCATATATTGGTTAAATTTCTAAAGAAAAAGAGTTTTCAAGTGAAGTATAAAAAGGCATAGTTAATTACTGATACCAGTGTTGCAAAAAGTAAAAATGAGTACTATTCTCAATTCTTTGTTTTCTTAATTTGCTTTATACTTTGAAGTAGTTTGTGGTAATGTATGTTAATAATTCAGACTTCTTTTTTTCTTCCAAGGATACTTTGATTGTGTGGTCGGAAGCTGAAAACTATGATTTGGCCCTTAGCTTTCAAGAAAAAGCTGGATGTGATGAAATTTGGGAGAAAATATGTCAGGTAATTTTAAAAACTAGAAAACCAACATATTCTTAAGTATTTTGTGGGGGGTTTTTTGCTGTGCTTTCAGCTAATGCCCAAGATTTTAAATAAATCCTATACACAAGCATATCATATAGATCTTTTATATTTACTGCTTTCTGTGAAAAGCTTGAATTATAGAAAAGTTCAGTTTCTTGACACCAGACATCCAGCCCAGACCCTTGCTCTATGCCAGAGTTTTCTATTTATTTATTTATTTGTTTAATTTCTTACTGATTTGAGAGAAATTGATTTGTTGTTCCACTTATTTATGCATTCATTGGTTGATTCTGGTATGTGCCCTGACCAGGGATTGAACCCACAATCTTGGTGTATCAGGATGAAGCTCTAGCCAACTGAGCTACCCAGCCAGGGCTGGATGCCAGTTTTCTATTCAGCTGCCTTTGAGAGCTCATCCATTAGGGCTCACTTGCATCTCAGGTTTAATAATTCAAAACCAAACATAATCTCACTTAGATCTGTTCATTCTCCTATATCCCTCATCTCATCTGAGTAAATGCCATCCAATTGCTGAAACCAGAAACTTGAGGGTTGTGTTTATCCTTCCTTTACCCCTTATATTCATTCAGTTGCTCAATTCTAAATCTTAAATCTATTCACTTATCTTCATTTTCACTATCACAGTTTACTAAGCCACCATCATTTTGCTGTTTTTATGTGTGTTTTGTTTTTTGTTTTTTTGTTGTTGTTTTTTTTTTTTTGCTTTCATCTTGACCGGTCTTTTCAAATCTATAACATTGCTAGAGTGGTCTTTTTAAAAATGCAAGTCTGATCATATCACTCTTTGTTCAGTAACCTTTGTGGCTCTTCACTATTTCTTCAACTTCATCTTGTATGTTCTAGTTGATTCTGGACTTTCCTAGTGACAAGTACCTCAGTCTATAATCTCCATAATCTATTGTGAATGCATTTTATGTGCTCCAATGATTTAAGTCATTGGCTCTTGTTATGGACTCATTTAGACCATTGCATCTTAAGGATAGTTTCTCTATCTCTAAAATTTCTTTTAGATGGAGAACAATCTTGAGCAGATTCTTTAATTCAGTGGTTGTCGAGGTTTAGTCCTCAGACCGGCAGCATGAGCATGGTTTATTTTTGTTTGTTTGTTAATGTTTTTATTGATTTTTAGATAGGATGGGAGAGGAAAAGAGATAGAAACATAAATGATGAAAGAATCATTGATCAAAGAATCATTGATCAGCTGTCTCCTGCATACTGGGGTTTGAGCTTGCAACTCCCCCTACTGGGGATCAAGCTCACAACCCAGGCATGTGCCCTGACTGGGAATTGAACCAGTGACCACGTAGTGCATGGGACGATGCTCAATTCACTGAGCTACACTGGCCTGGTAGAGCACAGCTTTTATAAGAACTTTAGGTCAGATTTTCTCTGTAAAGGGTGAAAACTAAGTATTTTAGACTTTCAGTTTAACAGCTATTCAAATATGCTGTTTTAGTGCGAAAATAGCCATAGATAACACTTAAATAAACGGGAGTGGTTCTCTTCATATAAAATTTTATTTACAGAAACAGGTGGTAGGCCAAGTTTGGCTATAGTTCGTCAACCCTTGCTTTGGGCAATTCTATTGCACCCTGAAATTTGAGAGCCACTGCCTTAATAGAAGCTACAGTGTCCTTGAGACACAGTTTTTCCTTAACTTACAGAATTTATCTCTGCTATGCATTCTACTCAGCTGTGTTTTTCAGAAATTAACCTACCTGTCAAGCTGTCGCTTCCTTCTAAGAGACATCTAAATGCCTTCTTTGTTTTCTGTTCCATTACATTATTTTTATAGCATATTCCTCAAGGTTTTGTCTGTAAAGTTCTCTCAAAAAAGGTGAAATTAATGAGCTCGGGTATGCTAAAATTATTAGCACCCATTCAGACAAGTTTTGTTCTTCTTCACCTTTCTAAGTTGAGCAGTCACACTCTGGGCACAATCTTCTTCTATTAAGCCAGTATTTAACTCAGACCTGCACTCAATCTGTTGCTCTCCTTTAATATAATTGTCTAGTTTTTACTGTACTTTTCCTTAGTCATCTTCATTTGGGGCACAGCTAATATAGTACTTGTATGCTTTCCTAGGAATCACTGGCTATTTAATGTTCTTTTCTGACCTTCTCCAACTTTTACATAGTGTGTTCAGTATTTTGTTTCTCAGTCACTCTTTTATGATCCTGTTTATACTTTTCAATCATATTTCTGGATCCTGGCGTATACTAGGGAATTCATTATATTTTGCTCTCTCTGAGATCTTACATGTTTCTCAAGATCTCACCATTTTTTGATCTAGAAACCATTTTCTAGTATACTCTTTGATAGCAGTTATGTTTGGGCGCATCTCTTTTCCCTTTTTATATTTTTTATGGCCTTCACATTCTCATTATCTTCTTGTCCAGACTGACTTCTAAAATTTATACTTTCTCTTAATGAAAGCTCTTTGCTAGCTTATATCTTTTGTTTCCATTCTTCCGTTGTTTTTGTTTTGAAAGTAAGACTGAAACATATTTGTCAAATTTTACAATTCCATCTTAATTCCCTGAGCAGATCAGATTCCAAGAGTATCTTAAGTGCAGACCCTTTTCATTCATTACCTTCTTAAACGTTATATTTGCAAATTACCTCAAGAAGATAGCATTTTCATTACAATAAAGGCTCTTGTTCCTTTTTTTTTTTTTAATCAAATGCTACCATTTTTTTTAATTTTTTTTTTGGTAAAACCATGGCTTGAAAATTAGGAATCTAAAGTTATAATGAGAACTTATGTAATTAACAAATCCAGAGCTAAACTTGAGATCATGCCAGGTACAAGCTGTAAATGTGCCTAGCCTCCTGTGAGTGGTACTGCCCACTGGGTTAAGGTCAAGATGATATCACCTTACAGCATATTTCAAGACATATTCCAGGCCTTCTTCCCTTCCAATATTCGTCAACAATAGCTTTTTTTAAAACATTTTTATTGATTTTTTTTAAAAAAGAGAGGGACAGAGGGAGAGAGACAGACAGACATTTATTTGTTATTTCACTTATTTATGCATTTATTGGTTGCTTGTATGTATCTTTACCAGGGATCAAACCTGCAACCTTGATTTATCAGGATGACACTCTAACCAACTAAGCTACCTGACCAGGGCACTATCTCTTAACTATGCTTAGTTAGCAATTTAAGTTTCTTGGCCATTCCATGTAAGGCCTAATTTTTCCATGCTTTCACCATTCAATTTGGCCTATTGGGCAACTCTAGTGGCAGTTTTGCCAAGAGAGCAAAATGGTTTTGTTTCAACATATGTCTTTGACCTTTTGTAAAAATACTCTTTTACCTTAAAATGTATTTAGCTGTGAAGACTTAAGTTATCTTTTTATAATTAAAGCCCCTACACTGACATAAATTTGGGGTTTTATGACAAAATTTAGGACTTCTTCTGGAGGACCATGAAAGGTTTATGTATGTAGACAGGAAAACTCTTCTGTGGTTTGGTTGCCTAACTTTTAGTAGATATTCTTGGGGATAGCAGGTTGTGTGGTTCCATTTTTGTATGGGTACACTTGTTTCCCACTCGGTTTTCTTAATCATATTTTTGGACCTACCAACCAGTGTGTACAGCAAATCAGTGACCCACTTTGGTTCAAAGCCATTTTGTATATGCCCTTTGGCCCTTGATTTCTATAATTGACATTAAGTATTTTCTTTGTTGCTTACAGTTATATATATTGTCTATGGTTTCAGCATTATGATATTTGTTTGAATTTAACTCAAAGCTTAACTTTGAGGAGTTTGATGACTAGCCTGGAAGCACAGTGCTATGAATGTTCCTGAGACTTGCCCTGGTCTGTTGGAAAAGAGGGCCATGGATATAAGATGTGAGTGGATGTTTCAATATCAGGCCTCTACATTGAGGGTCTGAAGGTAGGGTCTACAGAGCACTATGTTCACAGGTAGGTTAGCATATCCTAGAATGTTGCTGTTACTGGTAAACCTTGCACTTATGAGGAATCTCATTCCATATCTTAAAATAGAAAGTATATATTATTTGTAGAAATGTAACTTAGGAAAGTAGGCAGTTGGAGTCAAACTTGAAAATTATCATTACAGTTTTTTTAATGTTTTTATTGATTTTAGAGAGAGGAGGGGAGAGGGAGAGAAACGTTGATGAAAGAGAGATGTTGATCGGCCGCCTCCTGCACACACAGCTGCCCACACCCCCCCCCCCCCCCCCCCCTCAGGAATCAATCTCACAACCCAGGCATGTGTCCTGACCGGGACTCGGGACTCGAACCGGTGACCTCCTGATTCATGGGTCGATGCTCAACCATTGGGCCACACTGGCTGAGCTTATAGTTTTCTTAGAACATCTCTTGTATTTATGTAAGAATATCATTTTAATTTGCTTGATTATCTTCTCAGCTATCATAAATCTGATTTAATAGGTTCAAGGAAAGGACCCTTCAGTGGACATCACTCAGGACCTTGTAGATGAATCTGAAGAGGAGCGTTTTGATGATATGTCATCGCCAGGTTTAGAATTGCCATCTTGTGAATTAAGTCGTCTTGAGGAAATTGCAGAACTTGTGGCATCATCTTTACCTTCCCCCCTGCGTCGTGAAAAACTTGCACTAGCACTGGAAAATGAGGGTTATATTAAAAAGCTCTTAGAGCTTTTTCATGTATGTGAGGATTTGGAAAATATTGAAGGACTGCACCACTTATATGAAATTATCAAAGGCATCTTCCTCTTGAATCGAACTGCTCTTTTCGAAGTTATGTTCTCTGAGGAATGTATAATGGATGTTATTGGATGCTTAGAATATGATCCTGCTTTATCACAACCACGAAAACACAGGGAGTTTCTAACAAAAACAGCCAAGTTTAAAGAAGTGATTCCCATATCAGATCCTGAGCTGAAACAAAAAATTCATCAGACATACAGAGTCCAGTATATACAAGATATGGTTCTACCTACCCCTTCAGTCTTTGAAGAAAATATGTTATCAACACTTCACTCCTTCATCTTTTTCAATAAGGTAGAGATTGTTGGTATGTTGCAGGTGAGTTTGATCATTTTTTTTCCTACTTAAAACAATACCCGTTGGATCAATAACATTTAAACTTTTAATTGTCTTCGGCAGAAATAATTTTGTGATCCTTTTAAATAACTAAGTTTTCTTTTAACAGTATGCCGAGTGTCAGGTCTGGTGTTTTAGGGTGCTTGTATCAGAATGGCCTAGGCTGCAATTTTCTGGATTCTGCACAAAATACGATTGAAAATCTCTGAGCTGGCCAGTAGTCTGCATTTGTAACACTCCTGAAACCAAAAAACCTCTCAATATCATATCCCATAGCATGTGAATTAGTCTACTCTAACTGAAATAGAAGTCTGCATGGTGGAAAGGTTTGTGAGTTGCATACTTCCCGTTTTTTGTTTCTTTGATGCCCATGATATTATAAGAATAACAGATAGGTGATATGACTTGGAAGACATATTATAAAGCCTTACCTGAGATCTACAAACAAAATAATTATTTGAAACCTGAATTTGTTAAATAAAAAAAGGAGGCAAATAAATATCAGTAAAAGCTACTTGGTAGCACATGTTATAAATAAGGCAGCAAATTTAATTTTCACAAGTGTATCTTTTTAGACACTGTATTTCCAGTGTCTTTGGCCTTTGTCACCCTTTAAAAAAAGGGGCTTCAAATAGAAGTAATTTTACCAAAACCTACTTTTCTGGAACTAGTAATAAATCCAGTTCATGTTGACTAATTTGACATGTTTTCCATTCATTTAAAACGGACACAAATAATATAGGCAATACAGTCCGGTAAGTATACTAGTAATCTTCTATACAGTGTATTATAATTGACAGTGGAGGAGGAAGAAGGGTTTTGGTACCAATTTCCATGTGTTCTTTGATATGAAACTAGTTTTTGCTAGCTTCCTAGTAGAGCCTGTGTTCTGGTCCAGTTTGATTCCTGGTTTCCTTGCATAGTTCTGAGTGCTATGGGTCTTTTTCTTTAGCTCCACATAGTTCTCATCTTGGTATGCAGTGATTTGTCACTTCTGTGTTTTCTTGGTCTTTATACCTGTAAAATGCCAGTTTTACTTATTAAGTAATAATTGCAGCTTGTTAGCGCTTCTTTGAAGAAGAGAATTTTACACATTTTTGACAAGGAGTGATGGAGGTATAATTTAAAGCAGGTTTTTACCCACCTTAAGTACATAATCATATCTCTTACCATTGACTACTCTACATAATGCTATTAAATGTTCTTATTCTTTCTACTTCTGTACCCCAAATGTAGCAGTTCAGAGAATCTTTTTTTTAATTATTTGATTGCCTTTTGGTGGAATACATTATATCTGGGATACATCTTGAAATTGGATGCTATTTTAGGTATGGCCTATTTGTACATTTTAGAAAAAGTAAAGGCGGGAGTAACCAAACTACTTCAGTATCATAAAATGTTTCTTGAGCACCTAGAACAGGGAATATGGAGGTTATAATCTAGTGGGATATTATATGTGTACATATATATATATGTAGGTATGTATATATATATTTAGACTTAGGCATGTCTGTAGGGCTAAAGTAATGTTGAAATTACTTCTAGCCTGAGGTAGTATGGAATTAAAATAAAACAAAAATCTTTAAAATAGTGATGGAAAAAAATTAAATGGGCAATCAAGAAGGCTCTATTACTACCTATTGTGATTGGGCTTTGGGTAAATTTCTCAATCTCTCTCAATTATAAAATAAGGAGGCAAGATAATACCTGAGGTTCTTTCCAAGTTCTTACCCTATGAGAATGTATTTTGAATCCTTTTAAAAATTTAATGCATATTAAATTGTGTATATGGCTATCTTCAAATAATGTTTCTTTAAAAGCTCTGAATGTAGCCTTTTAAAAAATTGAGTCATTTCTGTGTCTTTAAACATCAAGGAAGCTTTATTTTCATTTTAATCTTTATTTGAGAGGTTGTAGAACCTTAATTTCTGAAGTTAAAATTACGAAACCTTATGAAAACCAGGGTCTATAAATATGACCCATACCTGCTTTTGTAAATAAAGTTTTATTTGAACACAGCACACTCATTTACATACTGTATGACTGCGTCCTACTATGACAACAGAGTTGAGTAGTTGTGGCAGAGACCATCTGGCCTGTAACAACAGAGTTGAGTTGTTGTGGCAGAGACCATATGGCCTGAAAAGTAAAATATTTAAAATGTGGCCCTTAAATAGACTTAGGAAATAGAGAGCTGCCAAAATATAAAGAACAATCTTTCTGTATAAATCTCCAATTTATCCTTTAATAGTTTGGTTTTTCTTTATCTCTTAAAAAAAAATAGCATCACCAATACCTTCTTCCCTTTTTGCAGTTATTACAATTTGTATCTTTTATTATAGCATCTTGAAATTTTTTATTATACTCTTACCATTAAGTAGCATAATTTATCCTTTGATTTCACAGGAAGATGAAAAATTTCTGACAGATTTGTTTGCACAACTAACAGATGAAGCAACAGATGAGGAAAAAAGACAGGAATTGGTAAGAACTTTGATGATATAGAGGACGCGAAACTAAAACAACTGATTTTTTTATATTCACTGATCCTTTTTCCTAATTTCAGGTTAACTTTTTAAAAGAATTTTGTGCGTTTTCCCAAACGCTACAACCTCAAAACAGAGATGCTTTTTTCAAGACTTTGTCAAACATGGGCATATTACCAGCTTTAGAAGTCATCCTTGTAAGTCTGTTTCTCCTTATATTTAATTACTACTATGTTTTTAATCCACAAAGGTAACATATGTAACATGCAAGTATTTCATTATAGCCAATATTTAATATTAGCTGTGTATTACACAGTATCCTATATAATAAAAGCCTAATATGCAAATTGTCCCCTCGGGTGGTCATTTGACCACTCACTATGAAGTGCGCTAACCACCAGGGTGTGGCACGGAACATGGCTCTGGCAGCAGGTTCTCAGGTGCTGGTTGCCCGCGAGGAGCCCACCCTGCACTCATGCGGCCTCTTCCGGGTGAGCCAGGCCGTAGCTGCCGGGATCACAGGGGCCGGTCAAGCTCCCCATGGGTTCGTGCAGGAGCTGGTCTGCAAGGCCAGACGGCTTCTGTGCAGCACCACTGGGCGGCCCAGAGGCCCACGCTGTGCCCTGGCTCACGGCATCCAGCTGCACTCACCGCATCTCCGCGTGGGAACTCGGGCACTGTGACTTAGGCCGAGGAGGGCGCGCGGGGACCCAGGTGCTGCCCAGGGCCCAGAGGTCAGCTGGGACCTGCCCTTCCACGACAGATGCTCGTGCTTTGATCGCCGGCCATGCCTAGAGACTGCGGACCTCTAAAATTCCAGTGTTAGAGTTCTTACATAGTGCTGAAAGAATCCTTAAGAATTTTCCATCCTATATAATAAAACCCTAATATGCAAATCGACTGAACAGCGGAATGACCTGTTGCTGTGATGCGCACTGACCGTGAGCGGGCAGACGCTCAATACAGGAGCTGCCCCCTGGTGGTCAGTGCACTCCCCCGCTCAGCTAGAAGCCGGGCTCACAGCTGGTGACACTGGGCAGCAGTGGTGGGAGCCTCTCCCACCTCCGCTGCAGCGCTAAGGACCTCTTGGCAGACATTCCCATGAGGGCTCCCGACTGCAAGGGCGCAGGCTGGGCTGAGGGACCCCCTCCCTTCCCAGTGCACGAATGCTGTGCACCAGGCCTCTAGTATCTATAATAACAAAAGGGTAATATGCTCATTAGACTGGATGTCTTCCGGATGTCCTTCCTGTTGAAGCCAGGGCGGGAGGGAAGCCAGCCTGGGTCCAAGGTGCCTGCGGCGACCAGAGGAAGAAAGCAGCCCGGGTGCCTGCGGCGGCTGGAGGAGGGAAGCCTGGGTCTCGGGTGCTGGAGGATAGACAGTGCCGGCAGCTGGGGGAAAGAAGGCCTACTCTTGCACGAATTTTTACTAGTTTTTAATAATAATGTGTTAACTTTGCAGCTTATTAGATGACATGTTAAAGTAGAAAAGTAAACAGGAATAAAAAAAGTATAACTTTATCCATGGAAAAGGGTTTTTACATGCAGCAGAATTTCCTTTACCTCTTTTTTTTATTGCAGTGTTTTCTTATAATTTGTTAGGTTTTGAATTTATGTAGCCATACAAAAGTTCCATGTTTTTATAATATAGGAGAAATAAGTTCTTTTTATCTGCAGGGCATGGATGATACACAGGTGCGAAGTGCTGCTACTGATATATTCTCATACTTGGTTGAATATAATCCATCCATGGTACGAGAGTTTGTCATGCAGGAGGCACAACAGAATGATGATGTAAGTAAGAAGTTAACAGAGCAAAAAATAACCAACAAGGTAAATATTATTTGCACTAACAGTAACTGTATTTAAGATTTAAATAGTTAATGTTTGGGAAAAGTGTGGCCATAATATCAATTGGCTTATTCTTCCCCTAAATCGGTGACTGTCTCAGTTTTAAAATGTGTCTTACAGCAGTTATTTGTTAATGCTCAACTTAAATTTCTTTTTAAATTTTTTAGATTATTTATTAATTCTGAGGTTAACTTTCTGTAATGTTTAAATCGTTTATCAATAAATTGTTATTCTGTATGCGGAATTAATAACTTTCCTAGGAAAACATTGACTTTGCTAGGGATTGAGTCTCAGAATCATCAAGAATGAAGAAATGAAGCACAGTCCCTTGGAAAGTATTTAGGGGCCCTTACCTAACCATAGGGAACAAGCTGTTGTCTTGTTCATACATATACATATTTTAAGTAAGTGAGAGAATATATCCTGGTAATGGGAAGGGCACTCCCAGAGTAAATGGTGTATGGCATACGTGACAACCCTAAATGTATGTGCTCTGTTCTGTTTTCAGATAAAGCAGTGATTCTGATTCTCCCCCACCCTTCTTCCCCCATAAAATCTTGAAAGTAATTTTTTACTTAATAATAAACTAAGATTTTCTGCCCTCAACTTTTTTTTAAAAAAATACATTTTATTGATTTTAGAGAGGAAGGGAGAGAGAGATACAAACATCAATGATGAGAGAGAATCTTTCATTGGTTGCCTCCTGCATGCCCCCTCCTGGGGATCAAGCCCGCAACCCAGGCATGTGCCCTTGGCCGGAATCGAACCTGGGACCCTTCAGTCCGCAGGCTGACGCTCTATCCATTGAGCCAAACCAGCTAGGGCATGCCCTTAACTTCCTAAGTAGTGGGGTGAGAGTAGGGCACATCGTCTTAGGCTGGAATTGTGTGGATCTTTTTCTCTTACCATAGTTTTACAAAAAGAGAAAATAAACTTTTACTTTTAAAAAGATCCTAATTAATGTGTTGTGATGTCAAAATGAAGTAGACTGTCTAGTAACTTCTATATTTAAGGTTGTTGTTTTTTAATTACCATTTTCTTTTATAAAATAGACCTATCTTGAAAGCCAAAATATCTGCATTAAAATAAAGGCTATTCTTATTGGTCCTGTAACCCACTAGTTGAAGATACATTAATATAGTTTACTCACATGCAGTAGGTCTCTTGATTCCTAGTCTTAATCATCATTTCCATATACTGTCTGCATTTTCTTTTTGTCTATCCTACCATTGCATATATAGGCAAGAGCAGGGATTTTCTCATTGAATCCTTCTCAATTTTTATTTACTCCTTGTGCCAGGAACACCAGTCATAGTGACATTTGGAGTCTATAGAATACATTTATTCTCCTGTGTTTTCCTTTAAATATTATAATCTTGTTTCCCCGATTTCAGACATTCAGGTACCAACTAATTTTTTTCTTAAAGTGGAAACTTTATATCATTTCCATAAATGGAGTATAGATATAGATATCATTTGCCATGAATAGAAGGAATCCCATAAAAATGCAGTGAAAGTAGAACAATGTTATAAATTTTAGCTAAATATTCTTACTGTTAAAGCTATGAACCTAAGGCCCATTTGCCTTCTTCAGGAAGGATATTTTGTTATCAAAAGGTGTAAAGATTATTAGCACCAAATTGAAACTTTGTTTTTGCTTTAATCAGAGGGATTTACAGATACTAGAAAAGGAAAGAAACTTTAATTTTGGTAGTATTTAGTGTAATGTGCCTGTGCCATATTTTAGGGAAACACTGCCATATACCTGTTAAGTCAGTCAATCATTTCATTTTGTTTGAGGTTAACAAGATTGCTAGAGCTAGCTATAATGCTGTAGTATGTCATAGTATTTGCTTTCCATTCCCCCATAGTAAGTGATCCTTATTGTATTTTTCTCACCAGGATATTTTGCTCATCAACCTCATTATAGAACATATGATTTGTGATACAGACCCTGAACTTGGAGGAGCAGTCCAACTTATGGGCCTGCTTCGAACTTTAGTTGACCCAGAAAACATGTTAGCTACTTCCAATGTAAGCCACGGATGTTTTTCTGTTTATCATGCTAGTATAATGATTATTGCTGATAGTAACCAATGCAGTTAAAGTTCATGGAAGTGTTTTTGGTTCCTTAGAAAACAGAAAAGACTGAATTTCTGGGTTTCTTCTACAAACACTGTATGCATGTCCTCACTGCTCCTTTACTGGCAAATACAACAGAAGACAAACCTAGCAAAGGTAAGATAATGCAGATTGGTAGTTCTTGAATTCTGAAACTCATGGTATTAACATAGAGGTCTAATGTATTTTCAGATGAGGTGTTCAAAGTAAAATTTCTTTAAAGTGTTATAATCAGAGATCAAAGAAAATAAGAATTGCTTTCGGATTTTAAAATTTTATTTTAATGGGAGGGCGCAGAGGGATTTATTGTTCCATTTATTTACCAGTATGCCCTCATGGGTTGATTTTTGTCCCCGATGAATCCACAACCTTGATGTATTGTGACAATGCTCTAACCAACTCTAGCTTTCTGGCCAGGGCGCCTTCAGAATTTTAAAACAATTTTTTGTTGGCAGTATTTGTTTTTAGTTTGCATTTATATAGGTGAAATAAATAGAAGTAGCTATGAGAAAATTCATTTTAAGTTATTTATACTCCAAATGTGTAGTAGAGCAAAGCTTGTACTCAATATTAAGCTGTTTATATTTGCATTGAGGATGAATCAAAACATGATTATTTATTACTTTTGCATTTTATTCCTTTTGCTTTTAGCTTGTCTGTTTAGAAAGTAGTTGTAGGGTCTTCATTGGGAAATTCCTTATTGAAGCTTTCAGAATAACTATATTATTTTGTCATATGAATTATCAGTATAGAATAGTTTAACTTATAGCACCACTTAGAAAATAAATGTTAAATTTACATTTGATGACTTTGGAATCAAGTCTTGGAAACAAGATATACTCATTTCTCCTACCTACTTTATTCCTGTTAGGTAAAGCTTGAGGCTTTTTTCCAGACCCACATGTTTTATTCATCAAACATTTATTGAGAACCCATTGCATGGAAGGCATGTGCTATATAATCTTTAGGGGCTTAATGGGGGAATTGAAAAAAATTAGTAAAATACTTTCAGAGGCTTACTGCCTGGTGAGGAAGATACACCAATCATTGTAATTCAGTATGGATTCATTATGTATAATAAAGGAGGCACAGAACACACTTCATTCATAGAAGTAGAATAATTCCACCAAAGACTAGATGTGTCTGGCAGAACCTATGCTCTGCTGAGGGATGTGTTAAGACGTGGTAGAGCATTCTTGCACTTGGAATACAGCAGATGTAGTACATTTGTATCCCATCTCTGCTTTACTAACTTTTCAGACGTGGGTCTTGTAAAACTAATTCCTCATAGAGTTATTTAGATGAAGCAAAAATGTAAAGCATCATTCTTAGTACATGGTAGGCATTCAGTGAATGTTAGTTTCCTTTTCCTTAACTTTAAAATACTTAGGTTAATAGAAGGAATTTTACTTGATTTGAATTTAGGTTCTTATATTTGGGGAGAAAAAGAAAATTATCCATTAAATATAAATTGTGTTTTGTTTATTTTAGATGATTTTCAGACTGCCCAGTTGTTGGCACTTGTATTGGAATTGTTAACATTTTGTGTGGAGCATCATACCTACCACATAAAGAACTACATAATTAATAAGGACATCCTCCGGAGAGTGCTAGTGCTTATGGCCTCGAAGCATGCTTTCTTGGCATTATGTAAGTGTTGCTTCTGGTAGAATTACTTATCTATATACTATCATGTTGTTGGTATTTTTAGGTCTCATTGCCTAAGAAGAAATGATCACTGATTGCAGGTCAGAGGAGCTAATACTAAGCTACACCGATTATGTATTTGTGCCACATTTTGAGCAGCTGATTGTCCTGACTTTATTCTTTCTCGTTACTATCCAGCAAAGGGTTAAAGTATATCTGTAAAGTGTATTGCCGTAGAGTGTTATATTCCATCATTAAGATGGCACCTGAGATCATTTTACCTCATTTACTATTTTTTAACCTTAGATTGCATTACTAATTACAAATTAGGCATTCTTCTTGTTAGACTGGTCTCAAATGAAATCATGAAGAAACATTTTCATAATTTGGAAAATTTATACCTAATAGAACTGAGTTCACAAAGCACAGTCTCTCTCAAGTTACAGAATGCCTAGCACAGATGTCTACAGATGGTCCATTTTTTAATTCCACAAATGATTTTTCTCCAGCTTTATTGACATTGTGTTACCTCAGATATTTTAGAGCAGGGTGGCAGTTGTGGCGAAATCTGGCCTGTGGTCTATTTTTGTGCAACTGGCAAACTGAAAAATGGTTTTTATGTTTTTAAAGGGTTGTTTAAAAAAGGTGAGAGACCATATGACCATACGTGGCTCACAAAGCTTAGAATATGTACTGTGTACACTTTTATGGAATGGTTTGTCAACTCTTTTAGAGCAACAGATAGTCTTTAACAAGGTTGTTTATGGTTACACAGTTCTCTAAAATTGACTTTCACTGTGTTCTTAAGACCCTACTTTATTGAAGTAAAAAAACATTTTTTTCTATATTGGAAATCGGTTAATCAATTCTTGATCATATAGCAGCCAGCCTTCTTTGGTTAAGTTGGTAGACCAATTTTAGGGGTACCCTGGTGACTCATTAAGAGACATCTGCTGGTAACTAACTTATGCTTTTTGGTGTTTATAGGTAAGTTTGGTTGTTTTGTTGTTATTGTTTAAAGGCATCATAGTCATACCCGTTTTTGCTCTTTTTGGTTTACATCATTTAACATATTTTTCCTTGATTTTTAAAAACATCCTTAAATTATAAAAACATTATATAAGACTGCTTCTGGTATTGATTTGTTTTATCAACATTTTATCCTTTATCTATTAGAAATAGGTTTCCTTCTAAAAAATTCATTTAACTTTCTATCAGGATAACAGTTGTTACACTTGTCAGTTTTTCAGGCCTGTGTACACATTGCAGTATGTACTGAGAATACATCTGGACAGAGTATATTTTTCCGTTTTCAGATATTTAGTACCAACTACTTTCTGCTAATTACCCAGAACCTTTGATAATACTTTAGTGATCGTTTTTCCAGCCAGAAGTAATAGTATCGGTGGTATTAACCTAGACTGCTAAGGGCAGCAAAAAAATAAATTCATTATTTTGGTTCTATCCTGCTTTTGCATACATTTATGAGCTTTATTAGCACATGTGAAAGAAGGGCTTTTAAATTAATGTGCATTTTCCTTGTATACCTATCACAGCAAAAGTGAGCCCCAAGACCAAGTTGAGAGGGAGTTTATAATGAATGCTTCTTTGAATTATGTCCACCATAGAAGGTTTTGTTTGAATGTGGGAAAGGGAGTTTGTGAGCAGGTGGGACGGAATGGAACATCTGAATAAAAAAGTTAATCAGTTTATTTCAATAAATTTAATAAAAATAAATACTACCATATTTCATTGATTCTAAGGCAGCGGTCGCCAATCTTTAGGATCACATGGACCACTGGTTGGTGACCGCTGCTTCAAAGGTTTTCTTCAACCAGCGGTCACCAACCTTTCGGACCTCACAGACCAACAGTGGTCCACGGTTGGCAACCGCTGCCCTAAGGTATATATTTGTATGCATTTATCATTTCTCAAGGTAAGTCTTCACAGTTAATGGCATGATCTGTAGTTCTGTTTGTTCATTTTGTTTTCCTAGTAGTAGAAAAGATAAAGAGTTTGCAATCAGTGGCATCTTCGATTTGAAGAAGTATGATATGTACTTGGAATTAGAAAAATGAAGATGATTTTGACCTGTACTCAGGAGATGGCCTATAAAAATCAAAACACATCATCACAAGCACTATATTGTGATGTGTTTAGATGTTTAGTGGAAATGGTTTATTCTACATGAATAAGGCAGATCAGGGAAATTTTGAAAGAGTTCAGTTGAATTTCTATTAATCATGGGGCGAGTGTGACATTCTTGTTTGAACACGCTGTTAAGATGTGCAAATGTGGAAAAGTGGTGTGTGAGTGTTCGGGGGTAGGTAGAATACAAGTCCCATAGGAGAGTGGCAGGAAAGATCTCTTCAGTTCTCCATCTCATTTGGCTTGCAGTATTGCAAAGAAAATGTCTCATAATTTAATGAGAACTCTGAAGAGAATCATTACAAATTAATGGAAGTTTATCTTTTAGGAAATTCAAGCATGCCAGATAAATCTTAGTTATATTTTATTATTAATATTTTCCAAATGATGTTATCATTAATCCTAACCCTCAAATTATTCTCAGTGTGGCTATCTTCCCAGTACTGAGAATATAAGTAGCTTCTGAAAGAAGATGCCAGTCAGTAGTAATGAGCTCTTTAGGACTGGCTTTGCAGTATACAGGAGTTTTTATCAAGGATTTCTAGAAGAACTAAATATAATTTGAGATGATTTAAGGTATTTTTGGTCTTCTGAGAAAGGAGTACATTAAAATACTAGGTATAGTTTTGTAAGGGAGGGTTTTGTAAGTAAATTTAGATGCATACTTGTAAGGACAAAATATAAATGGTTAAATGTAAACAATTTGGGGACTTGGGGAACTTCATTTTTTATATCTGCTGCTGCTTAATTAGTATACTTTTATCATATTTAAAGACAACTAATCAAGTCTGTAGCTGAGACCAGCAATACTTTCAAATATAGGTTAGAGATATGTACACACACACACTAGTAATAGCAGTTTTATTTCTTGGCCTTTGCAGGATTCTTGGATCTTACATTGTAGCCTTCTAGCTCATATTTTTATGTTGTCTGTATTTTTGTAGAAAATATGAAAATCTATAAGAGGAATGAGGTAATTTTGTTCGAGGTGCTTTTATTCAGCTATCATTTAATTACACATGAGGCATAAAGTCTCAAACTTATTACACGAAATCTCATGTTGTATAAGGTAAAGATGGATTACTTGTTTTAGAGATGATTGAAACTAAGCACAAAAGATCCCTGGCTTGTTAATAATGAAGGCTAGAGGTGTGAGTGGAAGTAGAGTGCACTTTACATTGCAAATCCTATGGTTATGTCAATTTGACATATCCCAAAAGCTTTCTCTCAAACTCCGTTGAGCAACTTGACTTCTCAGAACTCTGGTAAATTTTTGAAAGCATTTTTTTATCCAACAGCAAAAAATAGTGGTTGGATATTCTTGATGCAGGTTCTTTTTGGGGAAAGGTTTGAGTGGAAACAATACAAGTTTTGATAAAAATAAATGAGGGCAAATGGAAATGAGCAAAACAAAAAGACCTTAGAACTACCTTCTATCTATATCAGCAGTTTCTGAACAGAACTGCTCTTGAGGAAATGGTGGTGCTCTCTGCATACCCTTAGTCTTAGTGAATTCTAGGAAGGGAGCTGCTTTTCACTTACCTAGGAACTGCATGCAGACCACAGGGTTCAGTTAGTGTGTGTTATGGTAGGACACAAGTCTCCACAAAGCCTGCAAAGTTAGAGTACCAATTCTTAGTAGCTCTTGCCTTAATTACTAAAAGCTTAAAATTTGGCCGTAGTAGCATGAGCTCTAAAGTATTGATTTTTATTCTCACAAATGGAACTGCCTCACTAAGTTCATTTGTCTAGTAATAAAAGAAAAACCAAACTCTAAAACCATTGTTTTGGGAAAATAAACCCTTGTTCTGGTTTGACTTAAAACACAGAAAGATGCCTCTTATTGTATAAAATGTCTTATTTCACCATGCTTATGTATTTGAAAATAGTCATTAGTTTAAAAAATAAAATGCAATTGCTATTATATAAACTATTTTGAAATTCCCTGCCCAGAGTGTCTCTTTAGAAAGAAACACTCTTAAAGTTGGATTGTTAAGGCAGTTTATAATCAACTGTACCTGATTGGGCATTCACTTGTGCACCTCTTTTCTGCCAACGAAAGAAAAATTGAGCTGCTTTACTCCTCTGCCTTCCCACCCAGAAACCGTGTCAGCATGGTTGCCTGGCTACCTGCTCATGAAGGACTTGATTAATAACAAATTGGCAATTTAACGAGCCACTTCCATGATCTCCAAAGAAACCAAAATACAAACACAATATTTAATCTTGCCAACCGAAGACGATGTGACTGCATGAAGTGAGTATGCTTTTTTGAACTGTTTACAGTAACTGGGGCATTAACTTACTGATAATTCCATTTAGGTAAAGAGGGCTTTGTTGAAGTCTAGCTGTCTGCGTATATTTGGATCTTGACGAATGGTGACTTAACTCCCCATACCTCAAGATGTAAATATACCTTTTAATCTGTAAGTTAAAGCCTAATTGTAAAAAAGGAAAACTATGAAAAAAATTTAAAAAGCATACTCGCTGCAATAAGCATAGAGGACCACATTTTAAAAATAACATCCTCTAAATTTATTTTAAAATATAGGAAGGCAAATTTTGGGTCATGCAGATTTTTGTGGTTTATAGCATTTCTCCAAGCACGTCCACAAATAAACCAATGCAACCATGTGTTCTGATGCAAAATAATAAAGTGTCCAAAAGTAATGGTCAAATTATACCAATGGATTGCCCTAATAAAACAATGGTTTTTCTGTTGTTTTGACGGTATATATAAACAGATATATTTAGATTCTCATCTTAAGTAGTATGATAGGTTAATTCATTCATTAGCCCTATCTTAGTTCCTATGTCAGCTGTAAAGTACATTTTGGTCATTAGTAACTTCCAGAATTTTTCTGGCTCTCTAAGACTTGTGTTCTATGATGACACACACTACTCTTAGAATACTTTTTTCTGATAACCCTTTTGTAATCCTTATCTTTAGGTTCATACTTCTGGAAGCAGTAACATCACTGCACGAAGAATTATGTTTATTAGACAGATTTTTTTTTTTTTGTGAGTCTAAAATATGGAAGTGTGGTATATAATTTGAATAATGCCTCTTCATTTCAGGTGCTCTTCGTTTTAAGAGAAAGATTATTGGATTAAAAGATGAGTTTTACAACCGCTACATAATGAAAAGTTTTTTGTTTGAACCAGTAGTCAAAGCATTTCTCAACAATGGATCCCGCTACAATCTGATGAACTCTGCCATAATAGAGATGTTTGAATTTATTAGAGTGGTAGGTTCTGTACTTTATTAGTTAGGTTTTGGTTTTAATTATTGAGGAACTTTAATCTGCATTATTGGTACTTTGGCTTGAGTTATTGTATTTGAAGATAATTTTTTAAAAGAAAACGTGTGTTACCAAAAGCTTGTGAGAGAGAGTCAATTCAAACTAATAAAAACCAAAATAATCTCTCTCAGCAGCTATGATTCCTTTTTGTAGAATAGTTTGAAAACTGCTTTAATACTGTCAGGGTAATCATTTTAGGAAAGTAACATTACAGTTGATAACGATTTGGATGTGTTTTTGTTTAACTTTCTTGACTTTCTCCCACATAAATCTTTTTTATTTTTTTTCTAAACTTTTTTGTCTATTTTTAAATATGTTTTTATTGATTTTAGAGCAAGAAAGGAATGGAAAGGGAGAGAGAGAAATGTCGATTGGCTGCCTCCTGCATGCTCCCTACTGGGGACCGAGGCCGCAACTTGGGCATGTGCCCTGACCAGGAATTGAACTGGCAACCTTTTGGTGCATGGGACAATGCTCAGCCAACTGAGCCACACTGGCCAGGGCTCTCCCATATGTTTCTAAAGAGCAATTTCATAACAAACTCTTCTTGGTTCTTTAATAATATATTAGGTTAGTGCTTTTCAAATATTGGTGTGTGTTAGAGTTATCTGTGGCATGCTTTTTAAAAAATTATGGTAAAGTGTATATGTAATATAAAATTTGCCATTTTAACCATTTCTAAGTATATAATTCAGTGGCATTAAGTGCGTTCACATTGTTGAGCAACCATTACCACCATCCACCTCCAACACTTTAGTATGATTTAAAATCTGCCCAGATGGTACCTGGGCATTTACTTTGGAAAGACCCACAGATAATGCTGAGGTACACCAAAAACTGGGGACTACTGAAGAACCCAATATGGTATGCCCATTTTCATTGTTTGATGATCTCTACAATAGTATAATAATTTTATGAAGTCAGACTATTTTGGGTGGGTTTGTCAGTTCATGACAAGGAAGTCATATCTTTCTAAAATAGCATTTCATCTCATTTGTTATTATAATTCTTTTTTATAGGAAGATATAAAATCATTGACTGCTCATGTTATTGAAAATTACTGGAAAGCACTGGAAGATGTAGATTATGTACAGACATTTAAAGGATTAAAATTGAGATTTGAACAACAAAGAGAAAGGCAAGATAATCCCAAACTTGACAGGTAAGTTACCTCGAATTTGAACCTGTTCATTCAGTGACAAGTTGTAGGGCAGTGACTCTTATTTTGCTTGTGTTTTGCTGTTTGGCTTGGCAGGGGAGGAGGAAACAGCAGCTAGTGACTAGAAGTGGTAGGGTTCTGTATAATGGTCAGTGTGAGTGTTTTCCTGAAGATGCAGGTGGATTTGATCTGTGGGCTCTTCCTCAAGCATATATCAAGCTAGATAATGAAAAAGAAAAGAATGCCACTTATGTGGCATTGAAGCTTCATGTGTCCAAACAAATCAAAATATTATCTTACTTGCTTTGAATTACAAATTATTTTAAGAACTCTTGTACATTTTCCTAAATACCTGAATTCACATACTTATGCTATATTTTAAAATCCATAAATTATGACTTGTTAATTCCTAATGTTAAGTTTAGTAACTGATCTGTAATAGTACAATTTTGATCATAGGAAGTTTAATTCCACTAGTTAATACTAGATATGGCAGTGTGTTTCTAAATTACATGTTGGGTAAAATCTGTTTTTGTCAGTCTTTAGTGTATAAATCTGTTTTATCCCATTTATCTATTAAGACTGTATCTGATTCAGCCCTGACCAGTTTGGCTCAGTGGCTAGAGCGTCGGCCTGTGGACTGGAGAGTCCCAGGTTCGATTCCGGTCAAGGGCATGTACCTTGGTTGCGGGCACATCCCCAGTAGGGGGTATGCAGGAGGCAGCTGATGGATGTTTCTCTCTCATGGATGTTTCTAACTCTCTATCCCTCTCTCTTCCTCTCTGTAAAAAATCAATAAAATATATTTTTTTAAAAAAAGACTGTATCTAATTCAGAACAATACTTGAAGAATATCTAGTGAAGTCTTTATGAGTCTGTTTACTCTATCTTCTCTTTACTCATAGTATGCGGTCCATTTTGAGGAATCATAGATATCGAAGAGATGCCAGAACACTCGAAGATGAAGAGGAGATGTGGTTCAACACAGATGAAGATGACATGGAAGATGGAGAAGCTGTAGTGTCTCCATCTGACAAAGCTAAAAATGATGATGATATTATGGATCCAATAAGTAAATTCATGGAAAGGAAGAAATGTATGTTGAAAAGATGAACAAGGAGAAATGAAGTCTTTCTCACCTTATGTTTATTCTTATTTTGTGACAGTATGATTAGTATCTGATTTGTATGTATGACAACATAAATTTTAAAGATGTTGCTTATAAGAGTGTGAATTAATAGTTCTGTTGTGAAAGCATAAACTAAATTTTCTTAATTTTACTTAAGGAGAAAATATATCAGAAAGGGTAGAAACACTGAATATGATACTGAAGGTTTCATTCCTTATCAGTAATAAAAATTCAGTAGTAATGATGTTTAGTATTTTGCTAAGTAAGTTTTGTTCAGAGATTGATCTTCAGTGTTTCTCCCTAGCAGAGGAGTAAACTCTGTTCTAGTGTCTCCTCATTTGGGGGATTTTTAAAGATGAGTATGTTTGACAACTATTGACAACATTCTTATTTTTAGTAAAAGAAAGTGAGGAAAAGGAGGTACTTCTGAAAACAAATCTTTCCGGCCGGCAAAGCCCAAGTTTCAAGCTTTCCCTCTCTAGTGGGACAAAGACTAACCTCACCAGCCAGTCACCTGCAACGAACCTGCCTGGATCCCCAGGGTCGCCTGGATCCCCAGGATCTCCTGGATCTCCTGGATCCGTCCCTAAAAATACGTCTCAGACGGCAGCTATTACTACCAAGGTACACTTTTGACTCCCAGGCCTATCTAACTTAAGCTTTCTCAACAATAATTTTTGTGACAGTTACTATCCTTTGGAACTGATTTAAATTTGTGAACTAGAGAATCATTCTCCTATCATCACTTGAACTTACTTACGTTTTTTGTGACCAATATAGGAGTCTGAATATATTCTGATTTTGGTTATTTGCATTTTAGAATCTCAGGTTCAGATTTGTATGTGTCACAACATTGACAGGAATTTAAAAGTTATGTTATTTTTTTTATTTTAAATTTTTAATTACTTTTATTGATTTCAGAGAGGAATGGAGAGGGAGAGAAACAATGATTAGAGAGAGTCATTCATCATCTGCCTCCTGCATACCCCACACTAGGGATTGAGCCCGCAACCCAGGCATGTGCCCTGACCGGCAATCGAACCCTGAATTACTCCTCGTTCATAGGTCGATGCTCAACCACTGAGCCAGGCCAGATGGGCTTAAGTTATTTTTTTATCAATTTCCCAATTAATACCAAGATAAAGACTTCGTGGGGAAAAGATAATCTAAATATCTAGACACGTCTGACTTTATTTTGCCAAGCAAGGTTTATAAAAAGGAGTAAACCATCTATTAATAACATTTCATTTAAAGAACGGATCAAAATTTTGACACCAAAAATGTAGGAAAGACAGATTCTCAGAATGAAAATCAATTCTTTGGGCTGCTTTATGCTGCTCTGGATTAGCATAACAGACTAGCATTTGGGATTCATTGATCTAAATCAGAAATATAATGCCCATCAACACATGATCATTCCTCTGATGTGAGCAGGGACCCCTAAGGGCTAAAAGTGAATATGAGAAATGCTGAGATGAAGAGAGAGGCTCCAGGCAAGAGCTGTTTGAATCTCACGACCCACCCTCCATCTAAATAAAAGTGAACTACAGTGGTTTCTGGTCGTGAGCAGGCCTCTGGGAAGTCCAGATGAAATGATGGGGCGGGGACAGGGCTGAATCACTTTCCTAATGTTTGATCGTTTGTGTGCCCTCATTTCTAGTGGTCTGTTTAATCTTTTGTAGATATTTTGATATACTATATAAACTTTGCTGAAAAAATTTTAATGCATTGTTAATCTTAACATTTTAAATTTAGTCATTAATGTTTTTATCTCCTGGGTGATTTACTAGGATTATAAACTACTAATTTTATGTTTTACTCTGGAAAATTTAGGAAATATATAAAAATAATGAATTTTCAGTTATATATAATCTCACTACCCAGAAATAACCACGGTTGTATATTGAGATGGGGGTGGGGTTCTATATCCTTTACCCAAACTTAAAACATGTTGAAAATATGGTGTTTTCTTTAAATAATCCTTGTTTTGAACAGGGAGGCCTCGTGGGTCTGGTAGATTATCCTGATGATGATGAGGATGATGACGAGGATGAAGACAAGGAAGACATGCTACCATTGTCAAAGAAAGCAAAGTTTGAGTCATAATAATGGCAACTGCCTACAATCAGTACCTGTTGAAAAAACTGGTTCTTCTACCCCTATCCCCTACAAAATTCACAACAAAGCAGTGGTCTCTTGTGAATGACTGACAGATCAGCCTCGCACACTTGACCTCTGCTCATCAAGTGCCAATTCAAAGGAGCAGAAGGAGGGGATATTACACATTAGGGGAAAGACGTAAGCCTTGAGCTCTCCAGCTTGGACCACACATTGCCCTTTTCTCAGGGAAGGAAATGGAAACATAAAGCCAACAGGGCAGGGGTTTTGTAAGTGGAACTCTGGATTGACTGGTCAGTTGCTACAATCAGAATATGCTTTGTCGGACCATGTTTGAGACTCAGAAGAATAGGCTTTTCAGCCATAATTCTTCACTAGTTAAGAATGCCAGCAGTTTCTTTGTATAAAGAGACCTGCCTTTAAAACCATACATTCTGAACATTTTAGTCAAGCTACAAACAGGTTTGGAAAACCTATGGGGGAGGGGCGAATATAAAATTTCCTCTTTTTTATCTGTTCCCTTTGCCCTTCGAACTGCAGATTTTTTAAAAGTGGGGATTTGTCCCTACTTGATTAAAGATTGAGTGGAATTCTAGATGTGGTCATTTGTGTCATAATTTTTTTGTTTAATTTTGTTTTTGATTTTTTGCTCCCCTGAGTGTATGCTTAGTTGAGTATATATATTTGGGACCATTAAAACTTTTTTTTGATGTAATATAACCTAACGTTGTGCTGGTACCTGTTTTACCATGTGTAATTTTTGTTCTACATCACAGTTCTTAATTTGTTTAGAGTTTTATGAAAGATGGTATAGTTTTTATTGACAAAAGCAAAGTAATCTTACAACTATGTGCATACAAAAGCAATACTATTTTGTGACTAAATATTTTATATTAAAATTTACATCAGCAACTGTCTTGAGAATTCAGGGAAATAGAGTGGAATTTAAACTTTCAACAGTTTTGTTAAACCTAGAACAGTGACATTAGTATTCCAAAGAGATTCTGAAACTTCATATCTTGGGAAAATGACGGTACATTAAATAAAAATTGAGGATGGATGATTTAAAAATTAACATTTGACTTTTGAATAATAAAAAGAAAAGTGAAGAGTAATAGAAATTGTATTAGTTGTATGTTTCTTTTCTTTTTTTAAACTACTCCCTTTGGAATACCAGTTGGAGTTGATGGTGGTGGTTCCTAAATTAATACCTGGCCAGAGGACCATCAGCTAGTACCTTTTAAAACAGTTTTTTTTTAAATAGGTTTTTTTATTGTCTTAGGTGTGCTAGAATGAAAATAAATATCTCAATTCCACATACCCTCACTTTAAGTGAAGATTTTAGAACTTACTGAAGAATATATTTGCAAATGTGAGTAAAAATTCATATCCAGGAAAGGATACTGTTTTAATTAAGCACTGTGTGCTTCTAAGCTTTTCGTTTGCTTTGGTCTTTAGTAAATTCTAATTTGTGGCACCAAAAATAAGGTTATATTGAATAGTTGGGTGGAAATCCGGAAAGCAACATTTGCTACACGAGGAGTGTTTTGTTTTTAGCTAATTGAAACTTTGAGTGTATAATTAAATAGAAGAGTTTAAGTGTATTTCACTACAGTATAGGGCTACTTCTGAGTCACAAGTTCTGGCTATTAATAATTGAAGTTTATCCACTTATCTTGCAAATAAAGATAAGAAAAATGTAATAGGATCTAAGTTAAGTATATCATGTGCCATGTGAAATGAAAGTACCGTGTGAAATGTTTTGCTTTAAGCATACAGTTTATTGTTTATGTTTATTTATTTAAGAACTTAGTTTTTAATTTTTGGTATCTCTCTTTTTGTACTTTTATGACAACATATTGAATGCTGCAATAGCTTATCGGCTCTGGTGGCATCATGTAGGTATTGTAAAAATCCCAGGCAGGATGTCTTTCTTGAACACAAATTGAGTTAACTTTGCATCTGTTTTGTTAATCCTCACCCCGGGCTGTTTTTTCCTATTTATTTTTAGAGAGAGTGGAAGGGAGGTGGGGTGGAAATTGGTTGTGCCCTGACTGGGGCCAGGATCTAACCTGCAACCAAGGTAAGTGTCCTTGAATAAGAATTGAACCCAAGACCCTTCACTGCTCAGGTCAACACTCTAATCACTGAGCAACACCCGCCAAGGCTAAACATACAGTTTAAATACACCTTTCTGAGTCCTGGAATACTTACTTGCCTTCATATTCTGAGCGTTCTTGGTTTTGCCTTCATCAATTATGGTGTACTATATTTTTTAAAAAGATACCATTGGCCTTGGACATTTAAGAGATGCCCTTTAATTGATGGATTGTTTTATTTCTTTAGTGATTATGGTTACTGAAGCAGAAACTTAACACAAGTTGCTATAATAGGAAAAGTGAGGTCTAAAATAGCTTGTCATTTCATTGAGGAAGACTGTTAGCAATAAATTAGCAAGAAGACTATTAGCTATAAATACAACACTTGAATTGCCACAGTTCCATCTGACTCAAAAGTCCATGTTCTTAAGCATAATGTCTTGGTAATTGATATAAATATAATGATGTGAATAGATTATTTTCCATTTCAGTGATACTGGTTCTTTTGCTCAATTTGTAATGCTTAAAATAAAAAAAAACAACTCAGAGTGATTACCAAACGATTTCTGAGGACACATTTATAATTGCTGCAGGAAACACCTTGACATCCTGAATTGTCCAGAAATGCTACCCGGGCATTTTTTTTTTTGACAGGAAGAAGCCTGATGGTTTTTCCCTGTCTGATTGTATTCAGATCCTGCACTTTGTCCCCAGGAACTCCAATTTGCAAGTCAATTTTTGTGAATTTGGCAATGGGGAGGCATAGAGCAGGGGTTAATATTCTTCCTGGTTCTGTTCTAAATTGATTTAAGCAACAGTCTCTATTTAGAACAGCAAGTTTAAACTGGAAGATTTCTTGAAGTAGAAAACTTCAAATTGTCTACAATTTCTAGTATTTACCATAAAAAACTTTGTTTAGAACTTTGGAGGGAAACGGGACCATCAAAATTCTTATATATGCCCGGCCTGTGTTCCTCAGTGGTTGAGCATAGACCCAGGAACCAAAAAGTTGCTGGTTCGATTCCCAGTCCAGGGCACATGCCTGGGTTGCAGGCTCAGTCTCCAGTAGAGGTATGTGTAGGAGGCAGCCGATGGATGATGTTCCTCTCTCAGTGTTTCTCTCTCCTCCCTCTGTCTCTAAAAATAAAATTTAAAATACATGAAAAAATTCTTACAAGGTTATATTTGTCATGACATTTCGAGCAAGAGGATTATTAAAAAGTTTTAAGGGAAAAAAAAAAAAATAAAAAGTTTTAAGGGATGGGTTATTGTCTACCATTATACTGGGACATTGAGACGCATGAGGCAATGGGGCAATCATCTCTGTGATCCAATGCTAAATCACTTTGATTTTTCTCTGCTTGGCCTTAATGCTTCTTGACTCTTTATGAAACTGTTAGCCTTCAGAGATAAATGTCTTAACTACTGGAGTCAGATGTCTTGTTCCTTAAAATAGCTCTGATTAGAGACAACTTTCCTTGACTTTTTGCTCTTCTAGGTGAGTTATTCCATGGGCTCAGTGAATAGTGATTTCTTCAACATGATGCTAAATGGGTTTTTGTTTCGCTTCTTTCTATTCCCACTATCCCCAAAAACTGCCTGGTGTAGGTCATACCCTGCCTGCCAATTCAGTGGACACCTTTCCATCCTTACATTACTTGATACTTTTACAGCATTTACTACTATCTCCTTGATCTCTTTCTCTTGGCTTCTATTGCACCATGTGCTTTAACATTCATGACTTTCTTTTCATGGCCCCCTTTATCCCTTCAATGCTAGGATTCACTAGGATTGCACCTTGGGTACCCATTTTCCCAATCACTAGCCAGGCCACATTACTTGTATATCCCTGACCCAGTCATGCTATGCCCTAAAAGACTACCTTAACTTAGGTGCCCCTCTCAATGCTTTTCCTGCCTTACCTGCTGATGAAGTCATATTCACCTTCCAATGTTCAGAAATGTTCCCTGACACTGCACTTCTTCCTTGAAGGAGGGGTATGTTACAGCCTTTCAATTATGTATTCATAGTATCTGGTATGACACAAGCCCACAGATGGGTCTCCAAATGTTTACTGGATGAATGATCAAAAGAATTCCCCGTCAGGGCACATACTTAGGTTGTGGGTTGGGTCCCAGGTTGGGGCGCACATGGGAGGCAACCAGTTGGTGTCTCTCACATTGATATTTCTCCCTTCTCTAAAATCAATATACATATATCCTCAGGTGAAAATTAAAATTTAAAAGTGATTCATATTTTAATTGGATTTATGGAGTGATAACTGGTTAACAAAACACAGATTTCAGGTGCACAACTCTACAACACATCCATCTATACCCGGTATTCCACACCTAGCTGATTCATTTTTTACCATAAAGTTCCCTCTGGTGGATATAAAGGGAGAACTTGAGATTTCTGCCCTTTGTACCACTGTGTTTTAAGCTAGTAGCATGAACAGAGGGTATTTTAGGTTCAGAAAATTACCTTGACTCATTTCAACAACTGCAGTTCTTTCTTAAACCTTCCTGGTCTGTTCGTCCTGGGTTCAGCACCTCTTACTCCTCTGGTCATAGGTCTTACAGGTAAGTACAGACCCTTTTATCACTGGACCTAGCCATGAGCTATAGGTTTCACAGACCACTTATCCTTGCTCTGATGTTTGCAAATCTCATGCTCTTCAATGTTAAATGCTGCAACATGGGTGAACCTTGAGGACATTAGGCTAAATTAAGTAAGCCATTCACAAAAAGATAAATACTAAATGTTTCCACTTATATGAGGTATTATAGTCAAAATCATAAAGACAAAGTAGAATGGG